CTGTATCGAGACGTTTTGAAAATGGCAAAAAAACAAAAAGAAAACAAAAAAAACCTCCAGAAGGGAGAACAGTAAAGAACAAGACAGAGCCGTCGCAAATTACAAACACGGCCGATGAAGAAATCATTTCAGGGAAGCTTTGGTTGACCGGGAACTGAGGAAATTGCCGGAAAGAACAGGAAGTCGCCTCTGTGTATTTAAACTCTTAAGACAAGGGGATGTGACTTTTCTTTTGCCCAGAGTATGTTTGAGTGAGAGTGGCCTCATGGCTGGTAGTTACTCCGTGTTCCCGAGGAGTGGGGAGGTATGGCGGTAGCCCGTCTGTCTTCTCCGTGGGCCTGTCTGTTGAAGCTGGTGACGTGGACGGAAAGGTGAGGCGTGTGCCATCTGACTTCCGCCTGGGTCTCTGTGCTCAGGATCTGCCTGAATGGGCAGCTTTGTGCCCACAAGCCGGTGTCCACGGCAGGCGGCTTCCTTGGGAAGTAACGGATCGTTGCATTCTCTCTGTTGACATGTGTGGGGAGTCCAACAATCCTGGGGAAAAAAAATGATGATAATCTTCTGCCTTTTTTTTTTAAGTGATCTCTACACCCAATGTGGGACTCGAACTCATGACCCCAAAGATCAAGAGTCGCATGCCCTACTGACTGAGCTGGCCAGATGCCTCTGTTTGGAACTCCTTTTATGGACAGCTCTGCAATCCTCATAATGCTGTTGTGGGATTTGGGGGCAATCTCTAAATGTCTTCACAAAAGATGCCTGTGTACATGTGCATGTGTGTGTGTGATTTCTTTTTCTGGAGCCCATGTTCATGATTGCTTCCTTCAGTGGGATGTGGGTTCCTCCACAAAATGAGTGTTAACCTGAGGTGTAACTTGGATTCCTCAAAAAGCAACGTTGGATACAATGTACGTATTTTATAGATACTAAGTTTATATAATATTAAAACGATAGAACCTCAAATACACTGTTCATGAGAAGGTCCTAAAAAGATCTTCTTATGAATAAAGCATCTTCTTATGAACTTTTAGGCGTGTCTCTGTATAAGTTAAAAACACGGGGAAATGATGACAGTGTTGTGGACACGCTTTGATTCCCCCCACTTTGTTTTTTATTTTACTCGTTTCTTTCTTTCTGTAGAGTCCACATTTGACGTCATTGGGTGTGGGGGAGATTGTATATTTTCTGAAATTTAATGTGTAGATCATCTGAAGGAAACGGTAATGACCATGGGTCAAGAAATCGGTTATTCCATTTGAGAAAGATTGTTCTTATGTCCGAGCTAGTTGGTTTTGAGTCTTTGAAGAGAGACGTTCTGTAGTAAATGAAAACTTACAGTCTTAAAATTTCAAGTTAGAAACTTATAGGGACACATGGAAAAATACAGATCGATTTCTACTGCAGTGAATTCAAAGGAATGTCTGGGCCATGTTTACTGTACTAGACTTTAACTGACTTGAAGTTTACTTCAAGTAAGTCTATTGACTGGAAATTGTAGCCTTCTTATGCACAGTGTTTTTATATATGGCAGTCTTTTCTGTACTAGATTTTCCATTTGAGCATTTGGAATTTTGAGAACTAAATGTTGACCATAACAGTTTTTCTTTGAAAAGTAACAATATTCCTGAGAACGGTGATTTTCTTTCTGCTTCTTAATAAAAGATTGTCAGTGTGTCTTTACAGCTAAGATACATTTTTCACAGAGAGTAATTTGTCCAGATATTCCATGGCGCATAAAAGATGGCTTCAGAGCCTCGTGTAGAAACATTGATGGATGGTTCTAGGGCCTCTGCAACGGGGGGCTCACAAAGTGTAAATTTCAGAGCCATCTGTAGTCTTCTCTGGCTGCGACTTAGCCCCCTTAAATTTCAGCATCGCATGATGTCTTCATCGGGCGATGGTGTATTTAAGACATTTTAACTTAAATGTTAACTTTGATTGTGTGGATGTCAGAATCAACCCTTAAATGAAAACCTGAGCTTCCCTTTCATAGTGGATACGGACATAAATTCTGTCAAGTACAGGACCCTTTTTCACTCAACTATGCTGATTGTCATTCTTTTGTAAGGAAATATGAAATACGTCTTCACTGAGTGCAGTTGTATATGGCCCTAATCTTGAAACATTTGTTTAGATGGTCATTTGCATATTATCTCTTACCATGCCCACAATTTAGGTTGCCCATCTATCTGTAGGCAAACGCTTTGAGAATCACGGAGTCTCACGGAAAGATTCCTAGTAAGATTGGCATCTGCGTGCTTGAGTTTGAAGCTGACTCTGACATTTGTTTTTTTCTATGAACTTGGGAAAAAGTTTAAGAACATCTTCCTCAGAGCATTGTTATGATGATCAAATGATAACAGAGTAAGTTAAAGGGCTTTGTAAAGATTAAGGTGAATATAGGTTTCAGTCCGTCTTGTACACCATAACTCTTCGGTCTTCTCAGTAAGTGCGAACACTTGGAGGGCTCTCTCCACCCAGGCAGGCTGCTGGCACAAATACCACACAGTGGGTGGCTTATAAACAACAGAGATGTAGTTCTCACAGTCCTGGAGGCGCCAACAGATTCTACTTCCTGGTTCATAGCTGGTGTCTTCTGTAGTAGTTTCCTGTGGAGGGAGGGGCGAGGAAGCTCTCTGGGGTCTCCTTTATAAGGGCACTAATCCTAATGTAAGCCTAATCCTCTCCCCCAGGGTCCTACCTTCTAACGCAGTCACCTTGGGCATTGGGATTCAATATGAATTTTGGGGGACACAGCCCGTTTTGTACATAGCAAAGGGCTAATTTAGAAATGGGTATAACATTGAAAAATGATTGCTGCACTCTTTTTTTTAATGTTTATTTATGTTTGAGAGAGAAAGAGTGTGAGCAGGCAGAGAGAGAGGGGGAGACACAGAATTGGAGGCAGGCTCCAGGCTCTAGGTTGTCAGCACAGAGCCCGACACAAGGCTCGAACCTACGAACCGTGAGATCATGACCTGAGCTGAAGTCAGACACTTAACCGACCGAGCCACCCAGGCGCCCTGATTGCTGCACTTCCTGATGATGGAGAAGAACACAACACAGTGAGAGTTTCTGCCCCAAATGGATGCATTTCCTTATGAGTGTGTGTGTGTGTGTGTGTGTGTGTGTGTGTGTAAAATGAGGCAGATGGTGTTTTATTTGAGAAAAACATCTAGTGGTAAAAGTTGATGAATGGGTGAGTTGCTGGTTATTAGGCAGGGCCAGGGTCAGGACGTTGTGTGGCGAAAGCTGGGCTTTTTAGCCTTGTCTGGATCCATTTTATTTTGCCTGCATTCTTCCACCTTGGTTTTCCTTTTGGTCTTACGATCACGAATGGGTGCAGGGAGGGGCTCGTGACTGAGCTGCAGGTTCGAGACTGAAGTGACAGGTGCTCCGTGTCCCCTCCTGCTGACAGCGATGCAGAGCATTCCAGAGCTTTGAGCTGGAATTGTGGAGACAAACAATACATATTTGGTGAGAGTGTTTAGTAATTTTGTATACGCTTATAACAACACAAGAGCTAGTATTTATCAATCGCCCGGTACGTGCCTGGTGAGGTTATATTTTATTGACATATGTATCTCCTTTACTCCTTATCGCATCCCATGAGCAGAAATGTCGTTAGCACCATTATACGGATGAGGAAAGAGTATGAGATAAATTGGGTAAGTTACTCAAAGGTATAGCCAGTGATGGCAGAGCCTCCCACGGAGTCCAGATCCCACCTCATGCCGCGACCTGCCTTTTGCAGAGCACAGGTGGCTCACAAAAGCTAAGTAGCGGATGGTCGTAGGTGGTGCTGCCGGGCTGGCTCTCCATGTGCCCCCTAGAGTGGGTGGATGGGGACCTGAGGCTTGCTGCCCCGCCGTGGCTGACTTTGTGAGTCCTGTGATGGCCCCGGAAGGTCCAGGGCCTCTCCCGGGTGTGAAGCCTTCGGGCATCTGCGATTTGGGGAGACACACCGGGAGTTACCGGTTTCTCAAGTCTCAGAGTCTAAGCCCTTGGAGATCATTGGCCTCCGGCATCTGCTATTCCTTCGTTCAAAGATGTGTCCACTGCGTCCTTCCGTGTTCTCGGTGTGGTCCCCGCTGCTTGGAGAGAGACGTCACTTCGGTAGAGACCCGCACTAGCTTCTACTTGGGCTTCTCTGCCATCAGCGTCTTTTGTTTCCATTCAAGCCTTTATGCTATTTTCAGATTGATTTTATACAGGGACTTCCTGTTTGTTCAGTGTGCGTCGTGCTGGCTTTCCGGGCGGCCACTGGGCACAGTTTGCCAGCGTCCGTGCTCAGGCTGGACGCAGCCTTCCCCCACATCTCCCGCCCTGTGCTCCCCCCAGCCATCAGCTGCTTGTCTCGGTGCCCAAATCCCTTCTTCTTCTTCTCCACCTGTAAAACCTTTCCTGTCATTCAGAGCCTGCTGCTGGCTTCCCCCTGACCCTTCTGCCCCGACAGATCTCTTTTCTTCTCAGAATCTCCTGAATTTTGTGCTTGACGGTATCTTCTTTTTGATGGTGGAAGTTTCTGAATAGATGCTAAGACAACGGGGCCCATATTCTTTCACTTCTTTGATACCCAGCAAAATCTAGGCATGTGGTGGGCATGAAGTCACCCGCTGTTGACAGGTTTCTTTTTTTTAATTGTTTTTATTTATTTTTGAGACAGAGCATGAGCAGGGGAGGGGCAGAGAGAGAGGGAGACACAGAATCCGAAACAGGCTCCAGGCTCTGAGCTGCCAGCACAGAGCCCGACGCAGGGCTCGAACCCACGAACCGTGAGATCATGACCTGAGCCAAAGTTGGACACTTAACCGACTAAGCCACCCAGGCATCCCTGTTGACAGATTTCTCGTCTCTGTTTTAGAACTGAAGTCTGTTGCCTAAAATTAAGAAAGTCTCAAAACTACCCGGGTATACAGGGAAGTGCTGTGATTTTAGGCTTCTTGGACACTCCCCCGCTGTGTTGAAGTCTGTTTTTATTTCTTCTTTTGTCTCGCCAGCAATCAAGGAGAAGTACACAGACTGGACAGAGTTCCTCATTCGGGATTTGACTGGCTCCCGGACGGCGCCCGCCAGCCTCCTGGAAGGTGTATGTATTACCGTTATTCAGTTATTCTGAGTCTGAAGTATCACAGTTACATGTGCACCTTTGCATACAGCCTTCAGCGGGTGCCTGCGTGTGCAGAGCGCTCTCTGCCCAAGTGGCCTCACCTCCTGTTTCCCGAATTGCTTCGGTTAATCTTATGGCGCTGTAGACTGTTCACCTGCGCCACGGTCAGCAAGTGGAGATTTTGCTTCACGTCCTTTGGTGGCAGTGTTAGGATATCTTTCCACTGCTCTGCACATTTCAGCCTCCATCCTATATTGGTCAATATAAATAAATATTCCTGTGGAATAACTGGTCGTAGGGAGGTGACCAGTTAGCATATGCGTGCTCTCGTATAGTCGCAGGTATCCTGAAAAGCGGTTCCCCTCACTGCTCCATTGGGGACGTATAACTTCATGATCATACCACACAGGTGTTACGGAATAACTGAACTCGCTTCCCCTTATGAAAACAAGAGAATTGGCTGATCATATTTCAGTGCGGTTAAGGTATTTTTAAGGCACCAAAGGAAAAAAAAATGGTTTAGTCTGCAATCCTGATGGTTCATTTGACAATAATTTCGTGATAAGGCATTTCAATATTTACAATAGAATAGAAGGAACAGTGGATTGTCAAAGCAATTATCGAGTTACCAAATCTGTTTGAAAAATGCGTCCCCAAACAGGGAACACATAGTAAATAACAAGGAATACGATGTGGATTTTGATGCTGTCATTATTCTCTTAACGTTAACTGTACATTTTCTTGCTCTTGTAAATGACACTGACTTATGGAGCAGTGCTGTCTAATATATAGTTATCCGGTTTTGTGCTGTGAAGATTTTGCCTGATGTATTTGCTTATCTTAATGGTTCTCGATTTAATTGTTTGGTTAACAAATCAAAATGATGGTTCTTCACCCTTTCAGAAGGACAAATTGTCTTTCTCTGTTCATTGTTTTTTTTTTTTTAAACATATTTGCCCGCAAGGCTGACTGAACAAACACCCTTTTCGTGTGCTAACTTATGCTGAGAGGGTTGCTTATATGGGGCAGTAATTCTATATATTCTCTAAACTATTGGGTCAAGTGTACAAATAAATTTACAGTAATTGTCCAATGTAGCTGAGCATTAAATGTGTAATAAACGTGCCATCTACACGTATTCACTCAAGTATGAGAGTCTTCACATTAGAGTGGTAGCTCTTTTAAGATAAATCTGTTGAGTTACAGTATAAAGGGACATCTCCATAGCGGATAGATCTGTCTATGGGAAAAGTAGATATTTAGCTACCACATATTTCCTAGCTCGAGGCAAATTTGGTGTAACTCTCCTTAAAAGCATGCTTATTTCCAACAAACCCGGTTCTATCTGGGAAGGGTGATTTGTTTGGTGAGAACCGAGCGCAAACTGTTATGTTGTTTACTTGTGATTCTCGCTGGGCAGAGGGCTGGTGGGATGGGCATGTGGAGGGGGGGAGTGCGCAGGGGAGGGGCTGTGGGTGTGGAAAGGATGGGGGTGGAGGGAAACAGCAGACTGTTTGCCAATAGCTTGGATGATGGTGTGAGAAGATATTATCTTCTGCTGTCATCTGTTTCCGTAAGAACCTTAAAGTAAAGTTTAAAATAAGGAGTTTTGCTTCTGTTTAAACAGCCTCTGCGAGGGAAAGACCCTATAGACCTCATTACAGTTGATTCCTTAATAGAACTTCAGGATTCTCAGGACCCTTTTCAGTACTGGATAGTTAGTGTGATTGAAAATGTTGGAGGAAGATTACGCCTTCGCTATGTGGGATTGGAGGACACTGAATCCTATGACCAGTGGTTGTTTTACTTGGATTACAGACTTCGACCAGTTGGTTGGTGTCAAGAGAATAAATACAGAATGGACCCACCTTCAGGTAAGCTCCCGTGCTTTGGCTGCTGTGAGGTATTTTGGGAAAAGTGTGATGTTTTCCTCGATGTGTCTCTGGAGAATTCGTTTAGCTCTGTGTCATCTTTTACATACGTGTATGTGAATGTTGAGCCTTTTAACTTCAGGGCGCCTTCTATAGAAGATAGAACTCAAGACCTCAGGTAATAGTGTTCTAAAAGGAGACAGCAGTGGAGGCTGTGGTGACGGTAATCTAGTTCCTTTGGAATTCCTGGTTCACAGATGAAAGACATAGTGGATTGGGGCTTGATCATATTCTCCCTTTTGATCTAGGAATTTTGATGGTCTTGGAAGTAGGTTCCCTAATCTCTGTCTGTCCATACATCCTCTATCCATTCATCTACCCACCTACTCATCCACTCACCCACTCACCGTCTCATCCGTTCATTTATTCATCCATCTCTGTTCATCCATACCTTGCCCCTCATCCATATCCCTTCCTCCATCGGTCCATCTACCTGTCCATCCACTTACCTACCTATCCATCTGCTCACCCATCCCTTCACCCTCCCAGCCTCCCACTCACTTCCCATCCATCCATCCATCCATCCATCCATCCATCCATCCATCCATCTGAATATCTAAACCAAGTGCTTATCGTTATATAATCTGTGCTGACCTGGAAATGGCAAAGAGAAAATCATCATATGTTTTTTCCCGGCACATCACGGGTATTAATTAGCTTCAAAGGCACTGTCGTATGACTTTCCACAGGTGTAATTGGATAGAACAGTGCATTATGCTTCCTGACATACTTCATTGGGTGAAAATCTCACTGTTCACAAACTAACCATTCTGGAATGTTTACTATGTGCCACGTGATTTTACATCTACTGTGCTATTTGTTTTGATTACCAAAAAAAAAAAGTGCTGCATGTTTGATGTGAATATTTCCATTTCCAGCAGAGAAAATTTGGGACTGAAATTAAGCTACTTGGTCAAGGTCATGCTCCCCATTTCTTCCTGTCCCTCCTGCTTGCCCATACCAGCCTTACCATTTTTTAATGGTTGTCCTCAGAACAGCAACAAAAAATGTTGGGTCCTTATGGAATTAAAGATGGCAAGGTAGAAATATTAATGTCTCCCAGAAATTGCTGTTTTTCATCCTAGTCAGTTTCACCAGGTATATTGGAAGTAAGGAGCCAAATCTTTTATTAAAATTGCCAGCGATCTCTTTTCCTGCCATATTAGATGCTAGTGCTCATCCTGAGTACGTGGAGCCAAGGAGTTCATGTTTCTCCTTTCTGTCCCTCAAGGGCTTTGGTTGGAAAAAAAAAAAGAAGTTCTTGGTTCTGTATGTCATGTATTTGCATTTATGTTGAGTTTGACAGGCATGTAGGCACATAACATGGTATTCTATTAGTATTCTTGTTGTTACCGTTTTGAGAAGCAGCCAAGAAATCCAGTTATACCCTGAGTAATTTTGGACTCTTTGCTGACACAGGGCCTGTCAGTGTTGAGAAAAGATCTAAGCTCACATTTGCCTTGGGATTCATAACCTGGCAGGAGAAATTTACTTTGTGTGGGGAGTTGAGTGTGTAAATCTTAGCTTCGTGTCTAATTGCTTTATAAATTTTAGGAGATCCCTATATTTGCCACTGTGAACATTTATAGCAAAGCAAAGGATTATTCCTTAGGTTCTGTGCACTGTTCCTTTGCTGTGGAGTCTGGGAACTCATACTCAAAGGCAAGAATAATGGAAAGTGTCACCATAGAAACTTAGGAATTTTTTGCACAGGAGCTCTCTCGCTCTCTTCCTCTCTCTCTTAGATAATTTAATGTCTTCATAAGAGAAGAATAAATTGTTTTTACTGGTCTTAGTAAATTTCTGGACACGAGGTGTCCATTCCACCCAAGAGTTCGTGGGTGTCCTTAAAGAATTTAGAGAAGGCATTCATTGTTAAGAAGCTATTTTCTTAACACTTAAATTGTTAGCGAGAGAGGTTTTGCATGGGTGGGGGGGAGGAGAATAAGAGGCCAAAGGACACGCCAAACGTGGCTTTCAGTTCTTCAGATGCAGGCGTTACAAGATGAAAACGGGGTCCCATTGCCTCATTCAGCAGAACAACACCTGGGGTGGCGATTATTTGATTATCCGTGTTTTGTTATTTTTTCAAAAGTTTTTACTTAAATTCCAGTTAGTTAGCATACAGTTTCGTATTAGTTTCAGGTGTACAGTTGTACAGTTGGTGATTCAGCCATTCCATACGTCCCCGGCGCTGGTCACGACAGATGCATCCTTTATCTCCGTCACCTGCATCATCCGTCCCCCACCCACCTCCCCTCTGGTGACCATCAGTTTATTCTCTATAGTTAATAGTCTGTTTATTGGTCTCTTTCACTCTCTCTCTGTCTCTCTGTCTCTCTCTCTCTCTCTCTCTCTTCCTTCCCTCCCTCCCTCCGTCCCCCTCTCCTCACTTTGGTTTTTGTTTTGTATATTAAATTCCACAGATGGTTGAGATCTTACGGTATTTGTCTTTCTCTGAAGTGGCTTATTTCACCTAGCATCACACTCTCTATCTCCATCCATGTTGTTGCAAACGGCAAGATTTCATTCATTTTTACGGCTGAGTAATACTCCATTGTATACACACACACACACACACCACATCTTCTTTATCCATTCACCTTGTGACGCGCACTTGGGCTGCCTCCCTCGTGGCTGCTGTAGACAACGCCGCTATAAAGCTAGGGTCCCTGTGTTTTACACATGCAAACAGAACTCAGTACTTTGGGTTCGTGTAAATTAATCTCAAGACCCAGAGTGACTTAAAACTTACATGGTAGTGCTCTTTCCTTAACGGAAATATACGTGGGAATAAAGTCTCAGACTTACATAAAAAGATTAGCTATTGTTCTTATTCCCAAACACCCTTAACTAGTTGGAAAGTGTTGGGTGGTGAGGGGCAGGAGGGAGATAGGGAGGTGTGGGGCGGGGGAGAGAGGAGCTATGCTGAGGGCGCCCTGGGAGTCAGCCCTGGGGTCCCCTGCCCCCCATGCCTCCCTCGCTGTGTCCCCACGAACACCACCGTCGCTGACACGAAACATGGCTCATCCTTCAGTTTTACTTATTCTTTCCACTTGTTAAAGGGCATGAGATTTCTCAACTGTCCAGTACACATGAAGGTAGAAATAAGGAATGGATAGTGGCCAGATAGTTTTCAAAAACTCCAGGAAAAGGGGCTGCTTGTATACCGTCCAGCAGAGAGAACGCGACGGTCACTGCGCCTCTCCATCTCGGGCCTGGGCTCGAACCGGAGACGATAGGTCGGGGCGGTGAGGATAGAAAGAGGGGACAGAGGCGCCCACGTCACACCCAGGGCTGTCCCGGGGCATGTGGGTGCTGACGGAGCAGGTCGCATCCAGCTTCGGTGAAGATGGAGCAGGAGAGGATGAAGTGCCAGGTGACGAGAAGGAGGGCAGCCACTGCCTAAAGTCCTTCGTGGTTCAGGCTGTGTCAGGAGGGGAATCCTGCCAGCAGGAGCCTTCCTTCTGCGCTGGGTGGGAGGCAGTCTGCGGCCAGACCCTCGCCCCTTCTCCGGCCACGCAGCCCTGACACTGTACTCATCGAGTGGCTCTCCCGCACCTCAGCTTCCTCCGGCATCCACGGGGCTGCTAGGCACGTCCTGTCCTCGGGGAGCCAATCTTCCAGATGTGGCACTGGCCACCCCCTCGCTTCGTTCACAGTCCCGTCGTGAGGGGATTCAGTGACACTCTAACTGAACACCTGTGTCTGATTTTCTGCTGTGTCCCCAGTGCCTGGTGTGGTACCTGGCACCTCATAGGTGCTCAGTGAGTATTTGTCCAGTGCACTGACTGGATAAAAAGTTGGGTATGTCTTAGGGAGCAAGGGAACCAGCCACGTCCACCTTCCAGGAGCCAAATGATTGTTGGGGATCTGGAAGCCAATCTGGGGACCTAGAGTGAAGATGCCCCCAAAATGGCAAGGGCTGTGCTGTCCTCTTTGTCCCTGATGGGTGAGGGGAGCTTTTCAAAACAGGGTCCGGTCAAGCAGAGATGGTCTTTGTTGATGTGATCTGTTCTTTAGCCCCCGCATGGCCCCAGGACCCACCCCACGCATGGGAATGTGGTCTGTGGTGTGATTTTCGTTCCTCTAGAAGAGGTCACGTGTGACTCAAGCTCCAGGAGGCTGGCAGAGTCGGAAGAATGTGGACTTGGAGCCAGGGCCCGAGTTAGCTGCTTCTGCACTCCGTCCCTCGCTACAGAGCCCTGGGCAGCCCCTCTACTTCCCTCCTCTGTCAAACAGGGGTAATGGAGCATTTGCTGTGTTGTGGGGTGTTAACAAGATACCGTGAGTGATGGGTGTTTTCTAGGTATTCAGTCTGTGATCAGAGTTTCATGGTTTAGTTGGTTTTCTAGGAAATTTGAGAAGGCTGTGGAGACCAGGGGTCTCTTAGAGACCCCCCCCCCCCCCCCCCCCCCCTGTCCTCATATTTCTGGATGTTCAGAAAGCAAGGGAGACTCTTACATGTTGTCGCAGAAATGAAGGACCAGAAGCTTTCCAAGGGCTTTGGCATCTCTCTCTCTCGATGTTTTTCCATATATATATATATATATATTTATTTTTTTTTTTTTTTGCCTTCACAATCTTTATGGCAACCATTTTTTTTCTTTCTCTTCCTTAGAAAGTTTCTGAACTATTTCTTAGTCCAAAGATGGTTGTCGCTTTCTGTATTAGTTAGCCCAGACAGCCATACAAAATAAGTGAGGGGCTTAGATGATACAGATGATCTTCTCATGGTTTTCCCGGATGCGAGTCCAAGATGTGGGTGTTGGTAGGGTTGAGTTCTGGGTAGAGCCCACTTCTTCATCTGTGGGTACCCCCTTCTTTACGTGCACATGGAAAGAGAGAGAGACAGAGCTGCGGTGCTAATCTCATCATGGAGACCCCACCTTTACGATCTCATCTAACCCCAGTTACCTCCTAAAGGCTCCATCTCCAAACACCATCCCATTGGGGGTTAGAGCTTCAACACACTAATTTTTAGGAGATACCAGTATTCAGTCCATAGGCTTCCCTAGCATCTGTAAACAAGCACAGATCAGTCTTTGCTCACTGGTGAGACAAGGAAGGAGTGGAGGTCATAAGGTGCATCAAAAGGGGGATCACACCCTCCAGTCTGAGGTGCGAGCTGGTGGTCTTCTGCTCCCCTCCTGTGTTCTGCAGCTCTCGCCTTGCCAGAGCCAGCCAAACGCTAGCCCAGAGTGTGAGCACCTCATTTCCATGTAGGCTTCTAGTTAAAGATGGGTCAGGCCAGATTTTAATTGCTTGTTACTTCCCTGCAAACAGAAATCGACATGATACACTCTATTAAATTACCTGCAACACAATCATTTTAAGAAAATGGTTTATGTTCTTTTAATGGTGCTATTTATTGTCCATAAACCTGCCAGTGTAACCAAGCGCCTCTCTGTCCTAATGAAACACACGCACGGAATATTGTTCACTGTTTATTGATACCGTTAGATGTTTAGCTTTTGCAGGTGGTTGAGCGTTCTGGAAACCACTGCATTTGTTTTTGTTTTTGTTTTTGTTTTTATATTAAAAATATTTTTTTTTTTACAAATAGTTTATTGTCAAATTAGTTTCCACATAACACTCAGTGCTCATCCCCACAAGTGCCCTCCTCCATGCCCATCCCCCCTCCCCCCCACATCCATCCGTCCTCAGTTTTTGTCAGCATTCAAGAGTCTCTCATGGTTTGCCTCTCTCCCTTTCCCCCACCATCTCCGCCCTTCTTCTCCCCCTTGGTCCTCCGTCAAGTTCCTCCTAATCCTCCTATACGTGCAAACATATGATATCTGTCCTTCTCTGCCTGACTTATTTCGCTCAGCAGAACACCCTCAAGGTCCATCCATGTTGCTACACGTGGCCAGATTTCATTCTTTCTCATTGCCATGTAGTTTTCCATTGTATAGATAAACCACATCTTCTTGATCCATTCATCTGTTGATGGACACTTAGGCTCTTTCCATGTTTTAGCTATTGTGGAGAGTGCTGCTATGAACATTGGGGTACATGTGCTCCTATGCCTCAGCATTTCTGTATCCCTTGGGTAAATTCCTAGCAGTGCTATTGCTGGGTCCTAGGGGAGTTCTATTGTTAGTTTCCTGAGGAACCTCCACACTGTTTTCCAGAGGGGCTGTACCCGTTTACATTCCCACCAACAGTGCAGGAGGGTGCCCGTTTCTCCACATCCTCGCCAGCATCTAGAGTTCTCTGATTTGCTCATTTTAGCCACTCTGACTGGCGTGAGGTGGTATCTCAGTGTGGTTTTGATTTGTATTTCCCTGATGAGGAGGGATGCTGAGCATCGTTTCATGTGTCTGTTGGCCATCTGGGTGTCCTCTTTGGAGAAGTGTCTGTTCATATCTTCTGCCCATTTCTTCACTGGGTTGTTTGTTTTTCGGGCATGTAGTTTGGTGAGTTCCTTATAGATTCTGGATATTAACCCTTTATCTGATATGTCATTTGCAACTATCTTTTCCCATTCCGTTGGTTGCCTATTAATTTTCTGGGTTGAAACCACTGCATTTGATTTTCACCTTTTGAGAGAGGTGTGCCTTGCCACGGGGTTAAATTCCATTTCAGGGCTTAATCTCCTCAAAAGGATGACCGGGAATCATAAGGTCGTAGGGCAGAGACAAAAGTCGCACGGAACCTGGGTTTCTTAGTCGGTTCAGGCTTCTCTAGGAGAACACATACCACAGACCGGGCATTTATTTCTCCCAGTTCTGGAAGCTGCAGGTCTGAGGATCCGGCGCCCACAGATTTGGTGTCCACTTCCTGGGTCACAGGCAGCCCCTCTTCTTGCATGTGGTGGGAGGGGCGAGGAAGCTCTCTGGGGTCTCTTTGATAAGGGCGCGAATCCCGTTCGTGGGGGCTCCCCCCTTTTGACCTCCCAAAGGCCTCACCTCCTAACCATCACTTTGGGGGGAGGATTCCACCATGACTTTGGCGGGGACCATGGAGAGCAGAGCATCGGGCTTCCGTTTGGTGGGAGAGAGATCGCATCAAGAAGACAGATGGCATGGTGGGCGCGGTGGCGCCCCGCCAGTGTGTGTGGCCACCTGCCAAGTGCCACAGCGGGCGGTGAGCATCCCTGCCGGGGTCTGCACATCACCTCGCTCTGTTCCGGCAGCCTGGGTCCAGCCCCGGCCAAGTGGGGCTTTTGCTCTGGTCTTGCGTAGTTTTTTGTGACCCACTCTTCTCTTCCCCTCCTCTCTGTCTCTGGAGCTCCCCAGCCCCCGACACCGCAACACACGACTGGGGGGGCTCAGGCACCTACACGGTGGGCCTTCTCTTCCTTTTCTCACTCTGCGGATCTTGTCTTTGACAGTCGCCTTCCTTTTTCCTGACTTGGCTCTCTTTTTACCACTGTGTCAGGGTTGGACTCTGTTGACCAGCTTCCAGGTCTCCGGGACGGTGAATTTGTTCCTGCCTCACTCAGGAAGTGTAGGCTCTTGTGCGTCCTTTCCCTCCTGAGCCTCCTGACCTGCTGCACTTGGGGTCCTCTGGCTTGGCTTCCTTGAGCAATTGCCTCCCTCTCACCGAGGCTTTAACGCAGTGCCCCCGAGCCGAAGCATTGCTGTGTTTCAGGGGATCCGTCTCCTCCTCATGGGGCTTATAAGGCTGTGAACTGGCCCCTCCTCCTCCTTTGTGGGACCCTGTGACCAGCGCTTTCTCCCTCAGTACCCCCTCCTTAACTGTGGATGTTGGACAGATCATTCGTTCATTTTCTGGGAGCCCACTGTGCCCCTCCCAAATACGTCAGATACATCTATCCCGTACATATATGTGAAGAAGAATCATTTTCTATTTATGTTCTCATATAGAAATGCCAAATTGGGGGAAAAAATTCCCCAGAGGTAGAAGAGTATAAATAAAATGTTAGGAAGGATTGTACACAGTACACACAGCAGAGCCTGTCTGGTCGTTAATAACGCTTGATGTGACTTTGCGTAACTGACAATGAGCCACAGTGGGCCGAACACTGATAACTTGACTCCTTCGGCAGAATCTTTCTTCTCTCATAATGATGGTAGCCTGAAAAGACCCGATAAACTGCCAAAACACAGGAGCTCGGGCTCAAGGTGAATTCAGAAGCTGTGGGCTTCGAAATATATGGCTGTGTGCTGAAACACAGACATGCAAGAAATTAAAAATATGGCCCTGAAGGTTTAAAGTTGCCTTTTAACTGTGCTTAAATTCATATTCATGTCCTAACTGTCTGTCTGGAGTAGGCCGGGCTGATATAGGGAAGGCATAAACATATCTCCCTTCAAGTGAGTGCTTCTGCAAATCCTGTGTTGATAAGGTCTTAAATCCGTGGAGATCAGATCATAAAATTCCCCTGCAGTTTCAGCAATCGGTGAACACAGGGCTCAACAAATTTTTTCTTTCTGTTTTGCATTCAGCCAGAGTAACCTCCATTCGTAAATCCCTCCGTCCCACCCCCACCCACCCCCTGGGGGTAAAATATGGGCAACATGGGGTGTGTTAGCAACATTTCAAGTGTAAATATTAGACGTGGTTGGTAAATTTTAATTTGCCTTTTAATAATGTTCTGGCTCATGTGGGCTATTTTTAGCATAGGAGAGCTTAGAGGTATAGTGAAAAATATTCTGTAATAACTGAAAATGCCAGACGAGCATCGGGTCTGGTTTAGAAACGGATCCGATCTTAGATTTTCTATCAGTGGATATGACTTCCCAGGTGATACATGGGATTTGGGACAGCAGATGAGTGAAGATGGTTGCTGATGTGAGTCCTGCCATTAAATCGCTTACGGGATGCACACAAATGTTCCCTGAAGGGCCCTAGTAAGTTTAGTATTCCTTTCTGATAGCAGAGTCTCAAATTGCTCTTTAACGTCAGAAAATCCCTTAGTAGGTGGCCTTTTATGCGAGCAGGGTGTGAATACTTGCGGTTGCTGAGTGCGCCAGTGGCTCTGAAAAACCTGGGAAGTAAAATTCAAGGAAGAATCATCCAGTACACTATGTGGGTCCTTAACATGCCTCTGTGGTTTGCTGTTGATACAGAAATCTATCCTTTGAAGATGGCCTCTGAGTGGAAGTGTGCTCTGGAAAAATCCGTTATTGATGCCGGAAAGTCTCCTCTGCCGATGGAAGTGTTTAAGGTAAGACGTCGTCGGTCCGTAGCGACTGGCTTATTCTTTCTAAAGCCACGCAAGTTCCGGAGGGAAAAGTTTCTTACACCGAATCACTCGCCACGGTTGAGAAAGCCAGTTTTGCGAAGCTCAGCCACTTTCCGTTTGAAACGTTCAAAACGTTTATCTGCGCGCTTCGGCTTTGCTTTGTGGCCTTTGCAGATTTCTCGTTTTATAAAATACTCATGGGTCTTCTGCGACTTTGCTGTTTTTCTCCGTAATGGGTTATGAGAGGGTCGCAACACCTGCTTTGCCCGCCTTCGCCCTTTACGGAAGGAACGAGGCGGACGCTGCGGGCCTAGTCTGGGTATTCGTTTGGTAAAGAGTTGACAGCAGTGCTCTCTGATGGGCCAGTTTCCCGATGGCCCGAGACACTTGCGTGAGGACCTGTTGGGCACGAGGCCCCGTAGGAGCTCAGGAAGGGGAAGGGCACACACCACTGCTGGGAAGGATTGCGGGTTCTTAACCCTTTAAAGTCCTGCCCAGCACTTAAGTGAAGGAGAATAGGAAGCTGTGGGCAGGGCTGACCCGTCTGGGCCAGAGGAAGGCCTCCAGCGGCTCTTCTCGCCCGGACCCTGGGTCCTGAGCGGTTCGAAGCATGGTCGCAGCCGGCTGGCAGAAACTGGAAAGAAACGTCCCCGTCCTGAGGGGACGTCTGTCTGCAATGCCGTCCGCGTCCTGTGTGGGGAATGAAGCGCGGATGGCACTTAGGCACCATGGGCAGGAGTCTAGGGCGCGGGCGGGCCGGGCTCTGTGCTGACAGCGTGGAGCCCGCTCGGGATTCTTTCTCTCCTCTCTCTGCCCCTCCCCTGTTTGCTCTCTGTTCTCTCAAAATAAATAAATTTTTTACAAAAAGAATAGGTTGTTAGCAGTAGTGATCATTGGCAATGAAACAGGATCTTGGGCATTTTTTTTTCCTACTTACTGAGCAAATACTTCTTTCCTCACCTCTACCTTCCTCCCTTCCTCCCTCGTTTCCTTCTTTCCTTCTTTCTTTTTGTTTTTTTTAAATTTATTTCAAGGAGAGAGAGAGAGACAGCGTGAGCAGGGGAGGGCCAGAGAGAGAGGGAGTCACAGACTGAAACAGGCTCCAGGCTCTGAGCTGGCAGTCAGCACAGAGCCCGACGCGGGGCTCGAACCCACGAACCGCGAGATCATGACCTAAGCGAAAGTCGGACGCTCAACCGACTAAGCCACCCAGGTGCCCCCTTCTTTCCTTCTTTCTTACTTTCCTGATAACATTCTCTCCTGGAAAAGATAATAACAGTAAAGAAAAGCAGCTTTTCCTTTCCCTGTCTGGCTCCACAGTCTCTTTGCTGCCCTCTGTCGACCCGGGCAGGTGATGTCCACTGCCGTTGCGGTAGCCTTGGTAATATTTTAAATGTATCAGTTGGGCCATGTCCCTCACCCTTGAAAACCTAGATTTTGTTTTGAAATACATTATACACATGTGAGGAGCTCAAAGAGTCATGGGTGAACACGGAATACGCACCTCCTCCCGTCTACACCTGGGAAGTCACCCGGGAGCCCTTCTGCCTGTCCCTCCCCCATGCCCTCTCCATGCTCTGCCTCGTTTCCTGGGGATCATTTCCTCGCTCTCTCTTCCTAGTGTTATTGCCTGTGTAGGTTTTCCTGTTACAAGACTGTTCTCCATGTCTTTTTGCTTAACTGAAGCTTCCAGAAGGCAAGGACCACGTCTTCCTTATTCAGTGTTGAATCCATTCAACCAGACTCCTTGGCTATAGTCGGACCCAGTAAATACTATCAAATATATGAACAAATTCTTGAAGAGACAGATGTATTTAATTCATTGATTTAAAATATTTTGAGTTGGGGCACCTGGGTAGATCAGTCGGCTAAGTGCCTGACTTCGGCTCAGGTCATGATCTTGCAGTTTGTGGGTTCGAGGCCCATGTGGGTTCGAGCCCCAGGTTCGAACCTGGAGCCTGCTTCAGATTCTACGTCCCTCCCCCCACCCCTCTCTCCTTCTCTCTCTTTCTGCTCCTCCCTGCTCACTCTCTTTCTCTCTCAAAAATGAAAAAGTTAAAAAAAAATAAAATTTTTTGCATTCATAGTGTCGATTCATTGGATATTCAGGTTTTTTGTTCAGAACTATGAATACTAAGACTCAAAAGGTAAAAACATTATTATCCTGATATGTTTTTAATTAATAATTTGCTAATTCATTAAACATTTACCTGAGCAGCTACTCTGCAAAATGCTATTGACCGGATACCAAGGTTTTATAATTTTCCTATGTTTTTGAAAATACAGAACCTTTTCCCCTCGCTTTCCTTTTTTCAGTGAGAATTCGGACTATTTTGATGGACTCCTTGAGAGTTATTATTGTACTCAGTGTTTTGTTCATGATGAGTAGTTACCTTAAGAGCAGATACTGAATATTTCCCATTTGTCACAGTGCGTCCCACAAGTCAGGACACACCAAGTGGGCATTTTGTAAATAAAAATGGGTTGAATTGAAATGATGTGTTTTTTTAAAAAAAAAAATAGGTTTATTTATCTTGAGAGAGACGGAGAGAGTGAGTGGGGAAGGGGAGGACAGAGAGACTCCCAAGCAGGCTCCACGCCATCAGCATGGAGCTGGATGCAGAGGCTCGAACCCATGAAGTGTGAGATCATGATCTGAGCTGAAACCAAGAGTTGGATGCTCCACTGACTGAGCCACGCAAGCACCCCCAAAATTAATGTTTTTAAAACTCATGAGGCACTTGTACGAATGTTTCCTCTTATTTCAGTCTGATGGAGAAGTGGGCAGTGTCACTTTCCTCTCCGAGCTTTGCACGGAGTGGATATTTATACGTTTAGTTTTGGCATCGTGAGAACAACCAGCGTAATCGTTTTCTAAGGGTGTTGGAATAAATTACCACAAAGTGGGTGGCTAAAAACAGCGGAAAGTTACTCTCTCACAGCTTTGGAGTCTAGACATAAAGACGGAGATGTTGGCAGGGCCGCGCTCCCTCGGAAGGGTCTGAGGTCCAGCCCGTCCTGGGAGTGCACCTTGGCTACGGTGGTTGCTCACGATCATAGCATCTCTTGGGTTGTGATGACTCATAACCCCGCTCTCTGCCTCCATGTTCACATGGGCCTCTGCCCTCTGTGTGTCTGTCCCAATCTCCCTCTGCCACTCCCAGGGGACGCCACCATTTGATTCTGGCCCATGCTGATGCACTGTGTCCTCTGCTTAACCTGACTACTTCCGCAAAGACCTTGTTTCTAAGGAAGGGCACGTTCCCAGGTCCTGGGTGGGTGTGAACGTTTAGGGGACACGATTCAGCCCAGTGTGGCCACATTTCACGCATGTACAGTAATTTATGAAATCCTAATGTAGTGCACTTCTTCCACAGGAGTAACAAAGCTCGGGGAATACACGTGGAGGCCACGGGTGAGGTTCATGCTGTCTTAATAGTTGCTTCGCCTTCACAAAAACAGGAGAGATTTTTTTTTTCCTCAAGTTTTTGGAAGTTTCCATGAGCAATATTCGCCGGTTGGCACAAAAAGAGAACTTCTGTGTGTTTTTTCCCTATGTTACTGTGGTTCGATCATCACTTTCTCAGCAGGCGGACTCACTTCTATTGTTTTCATTATGGCAAAAGGTATATATGTCTGGACTCAGTCATGAGTCCTCCGAGAAGCACATTGTTGAGGAAATTGCCGTAAAGTTCAGCTGTTAGGAGACAGCAGTCAAAGCAATGCTCATTTAGTGGCTAGAAACGAGCAGTTTCAAAGCGGTTCTTTATTCATCACCGTTGTTACACTTGAGATGAAATGGGTATTTGATGGAACGGATCTCATTAAGCAGTGGAGATGGTCACTCGAGGGATGTGTTCATATACGTGCTTTGGTATCTGTGTGTCTGTGTCTGTAAGTGCAGTCACGTACAGATTTCCCCGCCTCGTTCAAATATCCACATAGACAACAGCGTCGTAAAAAAATGAGCACATAATTAGTATTCCTGCTGTTATTTACCCTTGATTTGAGGGAACACGTGGAAAGGCTTTTGGGGACCATATTTTAGTGGGAACTCTGATTTCCTTCATGTAGAAAATGCAGATGATCTTCAAAAATGTACATTCATTTGAAATTTAAGTAACTAATAAATTGGGTGCCAAAGGGAAAGGGATAAAAAATGCATTCTATTGAAAAATAAAAAATGAAAAACATTTTTTCCCCGAAAGCCAGACCCATTATTGAAAGCCTTAATAGATTTGCTAAAACAATCCATATATTACTACTGATTTGTGGAGGTGATTGCCCTGCATGTCAGAATGATGTCTCATGGCTTTCTGTTTTATTAGGCAAACTTTTCAACCCATTGTTTGATTGACTTATGTACAAGTCCCACTATCAAAGTGATGAGAATAGAAGAAAATGGCCAGCACTTCCTGTACCATTTTTAAAAAAAAATTTTATTAACATTTTTTTCAATGTTTGTTTATTTTTGAGAGAGAGAGAGTGTGTGTGAGCAGGGGTAAGGCAGAGAGAGAGAGGGAGACACAGAATCCGAAGCAGGCTCCAGGCTCCGAGCTCTTAGCACAGAGCCTGACAGGGGGCCCCCGAACCCATGAACTGTGAGATCTTTAACCTGAGCCAAAGTTGGACGCCTATCCGACTGAGTCACCCAGGTTCCCCTTTCTGAGAGAGAGAGAGAGAGAGAGAGAGAGAGAGCGTGAGCAGGGGAAGGGCAGAGAGAGAGAAGGAGACAAAGAATCCGAAGCAGGCACCAGGCTCTGAGCTAGCTGTCAGCACAGAGCCCGACGTAGGGCTTGAACCCACGAACCGTGAGATAATGACCTAAGCCAAAGTCGGACGCTTAACCGACTGAGCCACCCAGGCGCCCTGAGGAGCCCCTTCTGTACCGTTTAAGTTTTCAATTTCACTAAGTATCCAATGCATGGATTTGAGGGAAATTCAGCTAAATTTTAAGAAAAGGGCCAAGGGAGATGTGAAAA